GTACAGCAGCTCCAATTGTAGACAAAATAAATTTGGTTCGCTGTGTACGACATGCATTAATAAAACTCTGTATTCTCTTACGCCCGTTGTATACTGTTTCTGTGCATCCAAATAAGTTAGGTCCGTCTTCTCTGGCGTTCCTGTGCGAAACGAAACATGTCAGTAGCAGAAATAGAACCTTGCGTGTGTCATCCTTTTTCGTTCGTAAATAGCGGCTTACCAAAGGTCACCGACTAATGGCACCCCTTAGCCCGTGCTAACGACTGGCCCTCCCTGTGCGTGGACGCAATTGGGTCTAGCCGAAATGCAAATATGCTAGATAAGCCTAAATCAGCTTAAATCTTAGCCCGTACTTCGTGTAACGTGAACACAACTATTATGTGTTGCAGTCCAGTTCTGAGAACCTTAATACATATGCACCCAGTACTCGTGTGCAAATGTTTGTCTCTATGATGGCCAACCAAGCAAAAATAAATTTGTGCTGCAATCACAAAATTTTCATTATTTCTGTGTAAAAACCCATAAGTAGCAACTTACTATTTTTGTAATCTTTGGGGGGGGGATATTTTTTTCACATTCATGTAGTAACAAGTTGCCCTTCCCAAAATTTTGATATATATATTTTGTTTCTCTTGTTAAAAGCCTTTTTTCAAGTCTTACCACCATTGTCTATTTTTTGGTTCAACACTTTAACAAAACAGGTTAGACTCACGATTTTAGAGACTGAAAACAAATCTTGACTGCAATTGCAATGTGCATGAGTAAATAGATGACAGTATACAGTAGATATGCAGTATGGCTCATATGAGGTCATTGAAAAGGCATGCCATTGAAAACAAAACACTTGTTAGTTGTTTTCCATCACCATTAGACGATGGACTACTCTGTTAGTGTAGTAAAATTGTTTCAGTTTGAAAATGAATAAAAAAACGTCCTGTTGTCTCTACTTGAATGTTCCTACAATTCACAGAAATTCAGATCATCAAATATTTCACATCATGCATGTAGTCTCTAGACCCAATAGACCTATATGAATAAGTTTGGAATGTAACTTCAATGAGTTGAAGTGATATCAATATATGTCTTGTAAGATTTGCTGCTCTATGCCTTAAAAGCAAATATTGTTTGTTTTCTTGCAGACAAGGATGCAGAATTTACAACCTCATGCCAAGGCTAATTATAGGAATATCATGCATGCATTTTCAACAATAATAAAAGAAGAGGGCATGTTTAGGACTATACGAGGGGTCAATATTGTAGCCATTGGTGCTGGACCCTCACATGCCCTCTATTTTGCAACTTATGAGAAGATGAAAAAGTTGTTAAGTGAGAGACCTGGACATAATCCTTTAGCCAATGGTAAGTGGCTGAAATACACAAAGGCTGTAATCTCATTGAATCTTTGTCTCTCATGAATTTGATTCAGCAAGGTTATTTAAAATTCACCTGTGTTGCTGTCTGGCTAGTATGCACACATTTATTTGTCTGAAGCTTTTTATCTTACCAATCTAATAGTTAAATAGTGCTACAGTTGTATGCATCAAAATCTAGTCTGGCCTCCGATTTTATAGTCTTGTTTGACCGAGTCTGAAAACAAGGCTTGTAAATTCTATGCATCTATGAGTCTGTCCATTTCTTGACGTTCAATTCAATAAATGGTATCATACGTGCATTTACCGGGGGTAAATAAATTTGTTGGTCCAATCAAATATGGGTATGTTTGATTGAAAAAAATACTGCAATATAAAATTCTGCTGTCATGAAAAGATGATTGTTATTGCTGCATTTAATTCTCTAATTTTGATGAATATTTCTATCATTTTTGGTAAAAATTTATATTTTCAACTTCTTGTTAAAAACCGCAAGTCCAATTGCTTTGATATTACATATATAGGTACTACATGTGTACATCTCTCAGGTTTGTTCATTTTGTTAGGATATCTTTAATTCTCTTTTTTTGGTGAATATTTTTGTAATTTTGTTCATTTCATGATGATGTCTTCAATTCTCTAATTTTAATGAATATTTTTGTCATTTTTGGTGAAAAGTGATATTTTCGAATTCTTGTTAAAAACAGCAAGTCTGATTGCTTTGATACTATACATGTACATGTTGTTTATTTTCTAATGATATCTTCAGTTCTTTAATTGTAATGTGCATTGCTAACAGCGGAACTATATCAGCCGACAGGCTGCTTGTTTATGAATTTGATGTAAATATTATCTCTCATGAAGCCATGAGTGATGTTGAATGTTGAACAACAATGTTGAACACTGATTACGATAGTGGGTCAGTAATAATGTTGAACCCTGCTTGGGATAGTGGGTCAGTGATAATGATTGAACCCTGCTTGGGATAGTGAGTAAGTGATAATGTTGAACCCTGCTT